GGGGGGGGCCCTCTAGGACAGCATCGGGAAACAGCAATTATCAGAACCCTCCTGTGCCAATTTGGTTCCTTCCCCCTCCCCACCCTATCCCGAGGGGCACAGGACATAGAGTCCACTTTGGACTTCTAATCCAAAGTGCTTTGTGGTCCTTAGAGCTATCTATACATGTGCACTGTTACTACTATTTTACCAAAAAGGAGATCACAATCTTGGAAAAGGGAAGTGACTTGGCCAGTATCACACAGTCACAGTAGAGCAGCAGAGCTGGGATCCTAAGGAAATAGATACAGAGATGAAACAGCCACCACAAGCCTGTCCCAGAACGTCCTCGGCAGTGTCCTGAACGGGAGGCTCACCACCTCTCCACCGTGCTGCCATTCCACTCTGGAACAGCTGGGGTAGGAACCCAGGTGCTGCTCATTTCACTGGGCTCTGCTGCCTCCATCCTTCTCTCCTGTCCCAGGGCCTGCCCACCTGTCTCATGCATACTGATGAGGGTGTTTGCCTGGCACACACAGGCAGGCAAGGGGTGCCCCTTGGCAGGGTCTGGGGGAGAGGGCGTGAGGAGACCAGGGGAGGAGAAGCCAGAACCCAATACCTTTGTATCCTTCTTCATCCAACATCAGAGTGTAATCTTCTGGGGTTTCTGTCAGGCTGAAAAACTTGCACCTAAGGAGAAGGGACCCCCATGAGCCAAGGCAAGGCACTCCCTCATCCCCCAATCCCAAAGTCCACAGGCAGAGTGGAAGGCCAGACTCAAGGAAAGTGAGTGGATTTTGCCCAGGCTCCATTCAAGCAGAACAAATTGGGTCCCCTGGAAACCCTTGCCCACGGAGAGGAGGGGAAGAAGGGGAACGGTGGGTACAGGGGATACCGGCTGTTCCCTAAGCTGCCCCCAGAATCTCCATCCTAGGGAAGGACTCATATAACCCAGTCCTTTTCCTACTGGCGCGGGGGGGGGGGGGGGGGGGGGGGGGGCGGCGGGGGGGGGGGGCGGAACCACCTCGTAACCAATCTCCCAAGGGCTGGCTAGGGAGACCCCTGCTGGTACTCATCCCTCTGACCCACTGACCCAAAGAATGCTGGAGCTGGGAGCTGGGAGCTCCCTTAGACATCAGAACGGCTCACGGGTCCGACTCCCTCATTTTACAGAAGAGCAAAGTGAGGTCCAGGGAGGGGGAGCAAGCTGCCCGAGGCCCCACAGCCAGTAAGCAGCCCAGCTGGCACGTGAACTCCAGCTTCACAGAATGCCCCAAGTCGGCTGGAGAAGCCACCATTAGGGCTGCAACGTTCAAACACCTCCCCCTGTTTATATGTCAAGGCTTGGAACGAGCACAAGTCCAAGCAAGCTGGGGGAGGGGGGAGGGGCGGCTTCGGGGCCGGCACTGCTCACTTTCTGGGCGTCTCTGGGCAAGTCACCACAATCTCTCGGAATCTCAGTGGCCCCTTCTGTAAAGTGGGGATAATAAGAGCCCGAGGAGCTGGCTCGAGGAATCGATGAGACAGTGGGCTGGAAAGCGGGAGGGAACGTGCTTATCACCACCCTTACCCCCCCCCAGACCCACCCAGAGCCCGGGCTGGGCTTGGCAGCCGGCCTCAGAGGAGCCCCCACCTCTGGCCTCAGCCTTACCGGCTCCGCTGCCGCAGGAAGAGCAGCTTGACAAGCGGGTGCGTATAGAGCCAGAGTCCCGGGCGCGCGATGCTCAGCACCCGGACCCGGTGCTCCAGAATGTGCAGCTCCATCGGGCCGGGCCCGGGGGCTGGGAGGGGGCTGCCGCTGCTGCTGCTGCCGCCGGGCCCCACCACAGCCGCCCAGCCAGCGCCAGGCCCCGGGCCCGCCTCCGCCTCCGCCTCCGCCCCCGCCCCCTCCCCCTCCCCCTCCTCCCGCCGCCGCCTCTGCGGCTCCTGCTCCTCTCTGCCCCGCCCCCGCGGAGCGCTCCGGCCCACGCCACGCCCCCTTCGAACGCTCGGGTCCGGCCAATACCCAGCCGAAGTCTCCGGGCCACGCCCCCGCCGGCGGGCTCATCTGGATGGGGGGGGCGGGGAAGCACAGGGGCGAGGACGCGTGTGCTGGGCGCCCGAGCCCCAGCCAAAGCCACGCAAAGCCACGTCCGGGAGCCTGCCGCGGAGTGGAGGGGCCCCGCGAGGGTCCGTCTGGGCCGGTTGGTCCAGGCCACACCCGGGCAGGGGAGATCCAGCCTGCACTGTGTGGTGGGGGGGGGGGGGGGGCTCCCGCGCCGGCTTCCTCAGACCCTGGGAACAGTCCCAGAACTTATTACCCCCGAAAGGCCGCTCGAATACAGGATCATTGGGTCCACCCCCTCCCCAATCAGGAGCAGCTGTCGAGGTCAGGGGAGGGTCAGGGGAGGGCCAGGGCCCGCCAGGGACAGGTTTCCTCTTGGAGAACCCCTCTACCTCTACCTCTACCCACCCCGACCCTGACTGTGGAACCTCCCTCCCATCCAGAAGCAGAGGTCACAAGCCCGGCGTCTTTATTTTAGGTGAGGAAACTGAGGCCCAGAATGGGAGAAGGGTCTGAGATCCAAAAAGTACTTCAGTGTCAAAGGCTAAAGCTGTGTGCAGGTCCCCAGGGGTTATTTCCAACGTTAACCCCCTTACCCCACCTTTTACCATCCGTAGCTGGTAGGTTTTCCCCTCTTTTCCCAGAGCTCAACCCACACCTGATTCTAAATGAACTGGGTCAGCATCATGTATAAAGTGTAATCCAGTGGGAGAACCATAAATAAGGCAGTTTGGGGGAGAAAATATGACGATACAAGTTTGTGTTTAGAGATGGACCAGAGGTGGCAGATGGGTTGAACCTTCCAAGACAAGGGTTTTCCTATTTCACGGTTAGAGGGAAGGCATTCCAGGGTCTCCCCATCGGTCCAAGGGCAAGGCCAGGAGTATTGAATTCTAGCTCTTTTCACACACAGGGCCACACAGGCCAAGCTGGCCCTCCTTCCCCCAAGAATCCCCCTCTTTCGTACCCACCTCCCAGATGCCTTCCGTCCGACCCCAAGCCAGGGACCTGGAGCCTAAATGTGATAGAGCAAGGGAAAACTCTTGACTCCCAGGCCTGGGATCAAATTCATGTTATCCATTAATCTCCATTAAGCTCCCTTTGCTGGCATCTGATCCCTCTATTCGTCCTTAATTGACTATTCAAAACCTGTCTCTTCTCCAGCCTCCCAGGACGCCAGGGCCTCTCCTCCTGCCCACCCTCACTCGAGAGAGGGCCTTGTCTTCGTACAAAAATGACATCTTCCTTTGTTGCTGCTTTAAGCTCCCAAAACCCAGGACTTCATCCTCCCCCACCCTCGTCTCCCTGGCCTTCCTCCATTCTACTCAGGGGTTTTATCGGATCCCATCTTCCCCTCCTAAGGACCCAAGCTGGCCCCTCTCCAGGCTCCTCCCTCCCTGCCACTAACAAATTCTCCGGTCCCCTCAGCTTTCACTCGACTCAGCTCCACTCCCTCAAGCTATCAGTCTCCAATCTCTCCTCCCTCTTTTCACAGCCAAACTCCTAAACAACGCTGCCCTCTCTGTGCTTCTCCACTCCCACTGGCTGATCAGTCCTTTGCAGACAATCTGGCTTCTACCAGCCCCAGCCATGTGAAACTGCTCCCTCCAAGTCTATCCCAGATCACCGTAGCTGGTGTGACAATCCTGCCCAGCATCTCCGCCTTGCCTTGCCTTGCCTTGCCTTGCCTTGCCTTGCCTTGCCTTGCCTGGCCCTGCCCTGCCCTGCCCTGCCCAGCCTCGGGCTGCTATCATCCAATTCCCCTGACGTTTCCTAGGATCCAGACCCAGAAGAGACCTGAGGGGCCATCTCATTTGGTAGAGAAATGTAGTCCAGAGAGGTAGTAACAGAAGTCCAGGGCCTCTGACCCAACCTCTAGGGTTCTTCCCAGGGACCAGCAATTACCTCTGCTTTACAGATTATGATGCATATATCGTGTGCACCCAAAGATCCCGACCACCAAGCTGACAATCTCATCTTCCTTTCCCCTCCTAACCAATTTCTATGGATCCAGTTCAGTCCGTTGTCTTCCAGTTTCCCAGGCTCCAAGTCCTCCATGCATCCGCCACGTCTTCCCACCCACATCTGAACAGTTGCTGAGTGCCCATGGTACCTCTCCATCTCTCAAGGGCAGCCCTCTTCACCCAACGGACACCAGTTCCAGCCTCCATGAAGTATGCAGTGTCCAATGAGGACTCACTGAGCCCTTTTCAGGGCTGCTCATCCACCCGCCTGCCACCCAGCTGTCCCTTGTGACTCCAAGAAGCGGGCGCGTGCACAAGGGCCACATCTCAGTCAAACTATCTCAGCAGACAGGCTAAGCCAGGTCAAGGGTCAGAGCCAGGCTTCCAGCTTATCAGCGAGTTAGGAGAATGTCCGCCCCAAGCATGCGAAAACATCCCCCCCGTGGATGAAGCAGGCTCTGTGAAGCTGTGGGAAGTTAAATCCAACCCACGTGGGGAGTCCTCATGCTGTGATGTCACTGGTCCTCTTCAAAAAGGACAAACCACATGGTCTTGCTAGGACAAGTACAATAGCCTCCTCGTCGGCCTCCCTGCCTCCAGCCTCTAAACTATTCTCCGCATGTCTTAAAGATAATTCCTGGGACTCCTCTGCTCCCGAACTCCTAATTCTGGGATGAAATATACATACCTCAGGTTGAGCGGCTTTCCCACCTGGCCGCGGCTACCTAAGCTGTTTTCGCATTCCCTGCCCAAGCCCTCCATTCCAGCCAAACTGACCTGCTCTGTACTTCTCCCTCGATTGGATAATCTCTCTCCAGTTTTTGCAGAGGCTCTATCTATCCTGCATGCTTAGAACTTATCTCCAATTCGCCTTCACCTCATAAGAAACCTTTGTGAAGATAAAAATGAGATGGAAGACATAAAACATTTAGCACATTTAGCGTGTGGTGTCAGCACTTAACAGATCTCCTATAGGATAGCTTTCCTGATCCCAATTATTTATTGATCTGAGTAGCTGCTATTACTCCAGCAACTTCCATGGTTCCCAATTACCCCAGAAATCAGTCAGTCTCAAACTCTTTACAACCTGGATCTAATCTACCTTTTCATCCCCAAACTGGCTTTTGTGTGGCTCCAGACACAACCCCCAGCTCCAGACACAACCCCCAACTCCAGCTCCTAGTCTTTGCCCAGGCTGTCTTCCCTGCCTAGAAAACTCTTAACTCCTCACCTCTATTTCGCATGCCATGTTCTCCCAGATGTCTCTGTTAATCACCCTGACTTGTGCTTTCTGCCTCATTTCCCCCCCCCATACGCACACACCCAACCACCCTGTCTTAATTACCTGCCATATAAGGTATGCCAAAAGTCTCGGTGACATTTTAAAGTTTTAATAGGTTAAAACTGCACTAAGACTTTTGGGACACCAGTCTATCTGTACACGTTTCCCCAGTAATTTGAGAACAGGGCTTGCCTCACTTCTGGCCTCTGTTATCTCCAATGACAGCACAGTGTCTAGAACATAAAAGATGATTAATAAATCTTTATCAATTGATGGAACAATGTATTAACTCCAATGTCCCCAGTACAATATAAGTTCATTGAGGACAGAGGCTTTCTTGTTTTTGTCATTGTGTTCCCAATGGTGGGCACACAGTAGGAACATCACAAATGAATTGAAGGATGGGGCCACAGGGGTAACAGAATATCCAAGAGTCTGGAGGTCCTACTTCACAGCCCCATTCTCATCCCCAGAGCCAGAGTCACTGTGGACGGGAGGATTATGGTCCATTCCCAAGACCAATTTCTGTACCCACCCCCACCCCCATGGATTGGACAGCTAATTGGATTTAAGGATAGAAGTGTAAAATCATATATATGAGAAAGGGGCAGCGAGGTGGTGCAGTGGATAGAGCACCCGCCCTGGAGTCAGGAGGACCTGAGTTCAAATCCGGTCGCAGACCAGAGACTTGACACTTACTAGCTGTGTGACCCTGGGCAAGTCACTTAACCCCAACTGCCTCGCCAAAAGAAAAAAAAAAAGATATAGGATGGAAGTGTGTTGTTTCGCTTCTCCCACTAGTTCCCAGGCTCCCTCCACTGGGTCCAAAAGGCTCCTCCACCAGGCTCCCACTTTTCCCAGGGGGCGTCCAGGCTGGGGGTTGTCCCTTGGCCCCAGCTGCTCACAACAGGGCATTCTGTCAGCCTCGGCATGGGGAGATGCACAGGTTCTGCCATGATGGGTTGCTGGATAGTCTGGGTCATGGGCTGCTGGATAGACTGGTGCATCGGCTGCTGCATAGACTGGGTCATGGGCTGCTGCATAGACTGGTGCATCGGCTGCTGCATAGTCATGGGCTGAAGCAAAGGCTGGTGCATTGGCTGATACGTAGACTGGATCATGGGCTGATATGTAGACTGGGTCATGGGCTGATACGTAGACTGAGTCATGGGCTGATATGTAGACTGGGTCATGGGCTGCTGCATAGACTGCTGGATGGGCTGGGTCATGGGCTGCTGCATAGACTGCTGGATGGGCTGGGTCATGGGCTGCTGAATAGACTGGTGGATGGGCTGTGGAATGGGCCGGTAGATGGGCTGGTGTGTGGACTGAGTCAGGGGCTGCTGAATAGGCTGGAGCATGGGTTGGTGAATGGACCCCAGCACAGGCTGCCACATATGATTGATGGGCTCCAACATGGGCTGATGCATGAGTTGCCCCATGGTTTCTGGCCTGGATGTTTGCCTGGGCTCCGGCGGCATGGGCTGTTGTGTGGGCTC